CTAGAGATGGTTGTGCGTGAAAATCCCAGTAGATCAGCAGTTTCTGAAATACTCAGACCAGCCCTTCTGGCACCAACAATCATGCCAAAAAAGTCACTCAAATCACCTTTCTTCCCCATACTGATGCTTAGTTTGAACTGCAGGAGATTGTCTTGATCATGTCTACATGCCTAAATGCACTGAGTTGCCGTTATGTGATTGGCTGCTTAGAAATTAAGTGTTAACGAGCAGTTGGACAGGTGTACCTAATAAAGTGGCCGGTGAGTGTACATTCAAAAGCAGACAGGAGTTGGGCTCCACTTGTTTGTTACTCAGAGAAACTCTTTTTGCTCCTCAATACCAAAACAATTAGGAAAATTGTACGCTCCAACTCTGGGAACAGTTTGAGCATGATTTCAATTTCAATTTATCTTTATTGTCATGGTCACAAGAACAACGAAATTTAAAAAGGTGCCATTGATCGATCAGTGCATATGCTTAAAAAAACAAAAACAAAAATAGCAGTCACCACCATTTACACATAAAATAAGACATAAATAATAACAATAGTACATTCTCACACACATTATCCATGACGATTAATGGTTATTTTTGGTTGCATTTAGTTTTGTTATTGCGGTCGGGTAAAAACAGTTGAAAAATAAAGGTACGTCAAAATCAGAATCAAGTTTATTGCCAAGTAGGTTTGCACTTTGACTGGATGTTGATGGTGCAGACAAATTACATATATATACAATATAAAACATACATAAACCCATTGAAAAGAGAGTTTCTGGCGAAAGAACCTGGAATGCTAACTTTTGGGATTTGGAGAATGTTTTTTTTAATGATGCACAATATCTGGTCTTCTATAGTGATACTAATGATACTACTAATACTAAAAATGATAATAATATTAATAATAACAAATCCCACGGGATTTAAAAAGCAATTTAATCCAAGCTTACTGTGTCCACATACAGTGAGGAGGACTATATGGTCCTAAAACATGACTGTTAGGTTAATTGGCTTCTCTGAATCCTCCTTAGGTGTGAGTGTTTGTGTGAATGGTTGTTTGTCTCTGTGTTGCCCTGCGATGGACTGGCGACCTGTCCAAGGTGTACCCTGCCTCTTGCCCGTAGACACCAGCACCCCTCATGACCCCACATGGGATTAAGCGTGTCAGAAAATGGATGGATGGATTGACCGTGTTTCAACAGCTAAACGCCTTTGTAACAATAACAAGCCACTGCTCACCACAATACAAAGACTCTTGTTAAGGTGTTCTGTGACATCTGTATAAATGCAGACTTTGGAAAAAACAGTGTGCTGGTGTTAATGGACCGGCATTCACCACTGTTGATCACTACATTTTGCTAAAGTACTTGGAAAACTGGATCGGCCTTTCTGGTCCAGCACTGGGCTGGTTTAAATCCTTTTTTGTGTCAATAGGTAACTTTACATCAAAAACCAGAAAATTCACATGTGGCGCTCCCCAAGGATCCACCTTAGGGATCCTATACCTATTCAATATCTACTCTCCCCCAGACTCATATTTTAATAAATCACAACATAAGTTACAAAAACTATGCAGACGCCACCCAGCTGTACATCACTATGTCACCAGGTTACTATGAACCTATTCAAGTTCTAGATAAATACATTGAAGAAAACAACACATGGATGTGCCAAAATTTTCTTCAGCCAAATCAAAACCGAATTGAAGTAAAAGCTTTTAACTCAAAAAAGAGCTTTAAAAAGTTAGCACCCAACTTCAGTTGATCCAGCTAGAAAGCAACAAATAAGGCTCTAAATCTAGGTGCAGTGATGGACTCAGACCTGAACCTTCAGAGGCTCATAAAGACAGGAACAAATTCAGCCTTCTATCACCTAAAGAACATCTCCACTATTAAAGAACTGATTAATGTTTAACCAGGGTGGAGAAAAATGTATTCACACTTCGGGTTTTAACTTTAAGATGATGTGAAAGTCAGCTGCCTGCATCCTCACTAATATTAAGAAAATAGAGCACATCACCCCAGTGCTAAAATCATTACACTGGCTTTCTGTATCTCAGAGAATAGACAGATTTTTTTTAAATCAGTCTATAAATCATTAAATTTCTTAGCTCCAAAGGCTTTCTGGCTCCATCCTACTTTGCAGAACCCAGACCAAACTGGAAAAAGCAGCAATTAGTTCTTATGATCAACTGATCTGGAATGAACTCCCAGAAAACTGTGAATTTCTGAAATCCTCAGTTGCTTTAAATGAAGATCAAAGAATAATTTTGACGGTGCAATCTAAATGTTATTAGTTGTTTTCAGTATTACCTTTGTACCATTTTCTTAATCCTTTTGTCTTATTTTAAATATTTTATCAAGAATTTCATGTTTTTTCTAATATATAATCTACTTTTTTAATATTTCACTTTTATTCTCTTCAAACATTTGTGTTGATTATATGCCACTGCAATATAGTTTTCTATTTCTCATGTACAGTAGAGCACTTCAATTTTTTCACACCCGTGAAATGTTTTAGATAGATGAACTTTCCTTAACTTGCCTCAAAATCTGATGGAAAAGAGTTATAGGAGAAATGTTAAACCAGCCAATGAATAAAACTTTCATTACAATTTAACATTTTTTCTTGTTGATCTGCAGTATTGTTTTTACCTTGTCGTTGTAAAAAGATGCTGAACATTTCCCACCAGTGTTTGCACACAAACTAACATCAGAAATGCTGTAACTTTTGCCCCTTAAGCTCTGGATAACATGTGACCTTTTGAACCTGAGCTCTTTTTAACCTGAAGTTTTGATCCTCAGATTTGGGTCCTGGCGTTGTCGGTCTGCTGCACCTTCACCGTCAGCATCGGCATTTTTCCTGCCATCACCTCTGACACTAAATCCACTCTTGCTAATGGAGGCCCCTGGGGTTAGTCATCCCTCCCTGTTCACATGACCTCTTACACATCTGCCTCAGGTGTCAACTGGCTCTCAGGGTGATTGACCTTCCTGTTTGCCCTTCCCAGAGCGATACTTCATCCCTGTCAGCTGCTTCCTGCTCTTTAATCTGTGTGACTGGACTGGGCGGAGCCTAACAGCTGTATGCATGTGGGTAAGTTACTGACTGGTTGGCGATCTTCTATATTCAATCAATAACCTGATCAGTTACCAGTCGACGGCCAGACTGATTATCAATAAGCTCATGACATTTTTTCTCTCTGCAGCCAGGTAGAGACAGCCTGGTCCTCCCCTTCTTCATTGTGGCTCGGGTGCTCTTCATTCCTCTCTTTATGCTGTGTAACGTTCAGCCTCGCCTCCATCTGCCAGTCTACTTCCAACACGATGGCTACTTTATCGCCTTTATGGTTCTATTTGCCTTCAGTAATGGCTACCTGGCCAGCCTCTGTATGTGCTATGGACCAAAGTAAGAAACCGACAAAACACACAGCTAGAAAAATCTAAAAGTTGTTGATTAGAAATCCACGGGGATGAGAGTAAAATAATCTTCCCATTTTTCTCCCAAGACCTTCATCTGAATATATTTTCTGAGAGGTTTTATAAATTCTTAACATTTTAAATAAATTATATCAGATATCAGTCGGGCTGCTCAGTGGCGCTGTGGGTAGCGCTGCTGCTCTGCAGCAAGAATATTCTAGGTTTGGATCCCAGTCCGTCTTTCTGCATGGAGTTTGCATTTTCTCCCTGAGCATTTGTGGGTTCTCTCCAGGTTCTCCGGCTTCCCTCCACAGTCCAAAAACATGACTGTTAGGTTAATTGGCTTCTCTAAATTCTCCTTAGGTGTAAGTGTGTGCGTGAATGATTGTTTGTCTCTGCCAGGTTACACCCTGGCGGACTGTCCAGGGTGTAAATTACGGTGGCCCTGAAGTGCAAAGTGCAACTACAAATCTAAAAGCGCAACTACATTAAGGAAATCGCAACTACATAAAGCAAAGTGCAACTACATTAAGAAAAACAAAACTACATAAAGCAAAGCACAACTACATTAAGGAAATCGCAACTACATAAAGCAAAGTGCAACTACATTAAGAAAAACAAAACTACATAAAGCAAAGCGCAACTACATTAAGGAAATCGCAACTACATAAAGCAAAGTGCAACTACATTAAGAAAAACAAAACTACATAAAGCAAAGCGCAACTACATTAAGGAAAACACAATTACATTAACCTACCGGAAAAGGTAGGTACCAGTGGGAAACATGAGACATCGCTGATTGGACGACGGCGCCGTTTGACCCTTGAACCGGAAGTTGCGTCGTCTGAACAGTCCAGCTTCTTTTAAGTGTGTCTTCAGTGTACGCAAACTAACTGAAATTTCGTGATTAGTCTTGAGCATATCCAGTATCACCTCGTACGTATGTCCTGATTCAAAATAGTCCTGGGTAACGGCAGCTATGTTTGGGGCGCCGACAATATCCATGTTTTCAAAAGCCGCCGCAGGCAGAATGACTTCCGGTTCAAGGGTCAAACCGCGCCGTCGTCCAATCAGCGATGTCTCATGTTTCCCACTGGTACCTACCTTTTCTGGTAGGTTAATGTAATTGTGTTTTCCTTAATGTTGTTGTGCTTTGCTTTATGTAGTTTTGTTTTTCTTAATGTAGTTGCGCTTTTAGATTTGTAGTTGAAGTTTGCACTTCAGGGCCACCGTAGTGAACCGCCTTTTGCCCGTATTCAACTGGAGATGGGCACAAGCACCTGTCGAGACCCCACTTTGGATAAGCCTGACGGAAAATGGATGAATTTCAGATGAGAAAATCCTGCAACCTAGATGTGGAAGCAGTGGAGTTTTCCTTTTAGGAAGAAACAAATGATGAGATTTGGTATTCTGTCATTCAGTTAGTGGGTTTTATATGAAGCAAATCCCAAATGAAATAAAACAAACAATGAATAAAGTCAAGCTTAAAAGGAACTCATAAGTCTGGCAGATCTAGATTTTTAGTGGGGGTTTTTCTATCCAGGACATGTACAGAAGGAAAACGTGGCGGTATGTTTTAAAACATGATGTAAAAAGAGGAACCAAATTATGTAAGGAAAACTACCTTAACACAACACCGGTGCAGAGGGTCAAGGTCAAGGATCTCATTCTGGTCTGGCGTGAATAATTATGTGGGCAATTTATTGCCGCATGTAGCCGACTGATCATTTCTTTGATTAGAGTTAAGCCATACTTTTGAATTCTGCCTCACAAACAGATGTGTGCGCAGATTAGTCTTTGCTTTTATTTAATGGCTACTTTTTTGCCTGCAGGTGTGGCATCAAAATTAGGACTCGAAAATGAAATATTTGATTTCTAGGAGAAACTGAAATTTTAGAAGTGGATCCAATCGATTTTTAGTGCCAACTCTACTCTTGGAGGCTGACACGTGTCTTCCTGTCACTGGGATCACCTTTAGAAAGTATTTAAGTTTTTTCAACTTTGCTTCCCTTCACAGCTCAAATCTTATAGAGCGGCGTCCTTGTTCCTAAAAGGGCAACATTAACATATTCCAAAATAATCTGATTGGCTTTTAGGAAGAAGCCAATGAGATATTTGACATAAAGCAATAATGTATATAATAAGTCTGCTAAATATTTAGCAATATAGCTGAAAGCAACCAGACATTGTACATTTTCTAAAATTGAAGTAGATTGATGTGGCAGACAATGTATATATATAAGTTTCAAATATTAATATTACGTCTTACACTGACATTTTGCTTTGATGTCCTGCAGGAAGGTTCTACCTCATGAAGCGGAAACAGCTGGAGCTATAATGGCTTTCTTCCTGTCTCTGGGTTTGGCTTCAGGAGCTGCTGCCTCCTTCTTGTTCAGGGCACTGGTCTAACTGGGACACCTTCATATTAATCTTTTTTTTAATGTACTGGACTTTATTTTCTACCTTAAAGCGATTCGTCTTAACTTGTTGACTGTTATACTGGGTATGACCAGATGAAGATCTGTTGGCTGATATAACAAGGATGAACATACGGTAATGACGTATTTTACACCTTTTCTAATGATGGTGCTGTTTATTATGTATTTTTTTTAAGTATATTTAAATATTTTAAACTTGGAACATTATAAACTGTTCCAGAATCCAAAGAACGTCTGATATTTAACATCAAGCCTACTATATCTTTAAAAGTAATTTTCATCAGTTTGAAATCAGAGTGTTTAAAAGTGCAAATAAATAAATCTGAATGGCAAAGACAGACTTAAGAAAAAGAATGAATCAAACATTAATAACAAAGAAAGAAAAAAAGAGTAAAAAAACAGAAACATGAACATATAGTTAAAAAAGAAAACAACAGTCCATATAAAGAAGAGATAAAACATATTGCTGAGTCCTGCTTTAATCACAACTACCTTCCAACAAAGTCAAGATTACAGAAAACTCTCAACAGTCTGTCATGAAATGAAGACAGATGGACCCAGTATTCAAGGAGAGAGTTGGAGAGAGTTGGTCACTTACCTGTCCAGAACAAGAATGTTCCCAAGTGCTGCAGTCCCAGAGGTCATGCTGGAAGCCGATCCTGGTGAGGGATCCAGAACAGACAGGAACAGACAGAGCAAGCAGAATCAAGATCAGGCAGGAACAGAAACAGGTGGCGGGATCCAGACTTCCAGGCATCCACAGGCTCCCAGGAGGGTTCAGAGTCTGACTGGGACCAGAAGCAT